GGGCCGCCCGGGTCCTGCTCGCCCCGACAAACAGGTTGAAGCCAAGCAGGCTGCCGGCAGCTGAGCTGCTCCGACTCCTTGTGCTTAACAAAAATATTGATTTCCTTTAGTGTTGTGCCATGCGTGTGCGTTCGACTGGAGTGATCTCATCACATGCGCTCCGGAGGGTGGGGGAAGGGAGACGCGTAGAGGATGGAGCATCCTCCGCAGCTTTTTGTTCACATCTGCTACACGCTCGCTAGGTTTATTACAGGAGATTTCTATGCTCGGTTTCTCTCCTCCCTTTATTTTTTTTAAACGTCTCCTTTGCTTCTCTGGTGGTTCATCTTACAGAAGCATTATCCTCTTCCTAACACTGCTTGTCCTTTAATGAAGTTAAAATAAATGAAGGAAAGCAGGGAATGGGGAGAGCCTGCTGCGAGGCAGCTGGAGGGCCGGGCCATAAAAGCGGCAGGGTGATCAGTCAGCAGTGCGGCCGCGGGCCGGGCCGGCTGAATTCAGCCTGGCGCACAGCTTGTGCTCCGGCCCGGCCAGCGTGGCTGGGCGACCCGTGCTGCGAATGCCGCGCCGTAGGCTGCGGAAGCAGCGCCTGCATCACGCACACGTGGGTTTCTGTCCTACTTACCTGCCTTTTTAATAATGCATTGAACTTTTTCTTTTATTTCCCTGCAGAAATTCTTGTGTTTCTTTCCCTCTCTGCTGCTTTGGCAGCCTGCTTAATGAGGTTTTTTGCATGTTAAAGGTTAACAAGGAAATGTAACTTCACCTGCAGAGTGTGGCGAGAGGCAATTTTGAGTGCACGGATGCTATTAGAGAGCTATCCTGCAACGCTGAGAGGAGCGTTGCCCATCCTGGGGGGCTTTTTGCTTCTGACTTAAATATTTTATGTCCTTTATTCTTGCTTTCTTAAGGAGATGGCAGAATACTGTCCTTCATGGGAATACATTTATAGGAAGCATGCCCTTCCAGCTTTTTCATTTGCTTGTGTCTCTCCAAGGAGGCTCTTTGTCCGGTCTGTGTCTCGTGATGCTGTGGCCACGCTCCATATGTCTCTCGTGTTCATTTAAGGGATAAAACCTACATGTAGTCCTCCTGCCCATTGTGTTGAAGAGAACATTAGGAAGAGACGATGGCAAAAATAATGGTCCAAAGCCAAGTTCAGACACCTTAGGACCCACCAGGCCACTCGAGCAGCAGCTCACGGCCTGCCTTTTTCAGCTGCTGACCAGGAGATCTCAAAACTTCTCCTGCTTTCTTTCTTGTTCCTTTTGCAACAAACTACTTTTCCTGGGGACGAGGCGGGTTTCATAGAGCACTACCAACCTGTGGTTTATAATAGCCCTAAAAATGCCGTGTAAAATAAAGGAGCTGGACTGCAGCAGCACTCGCAGGGGTGCGTCAGTCAGGCAGCCGCGGGCGGAGGAGCTCACCCAGGGCGAGCTCTGCCACGGCACGCTGCTCTGGCGTCCCTCCGTTGGGCTGCAGGCAGCGATGGGCGTCCCCTGCTTCTTGCTCCATCACTTTCCAGAACTGCCTTGGGAAGTTCGGGTTTTTTTGCAATGCTGAGGCCCAAAACTGTCGTGAGCAAGGACAACTCGGATGAGGTGTTCTTCAGAGCTGGTGCTGCTTTGCCGTGCTCTCTTATGGGCTGCACAGGACACGTGGTGGTAACCTGGTGCCATGCATGGACAGGGCAGGTGTGCAGGCTGCGGGAGAAGTCCTCTCCCCGTCACCAGAGAGGGTCGAGGCTGTTTGTGTAAGGCCAGCTCAGTAACCTGGAGCTGATAAATCAGGGGCGGAGGAGCTCACCCAGGGCGAGCTCTGCCACGGCACGCTGCTCTGGCGTCCCTCCGTTGGGCTGCAGGCAGCGATGGGCGTCCCCTGCTTCTTGCTCCATCACTTTCCAGAACTGCCTTGGGAAGTTCGGGTTTTTTTGCAATGCTGAGGCCCAAAACTGTCGTGAGCAAGGACAACTCGGATGAGGTGTTCTTCAGAGCTGGTGCTGCTTTGCCGTGCTCTCTTATGGGCTGCACAGGACACGTGGTGGTAACCTGGTGCCATGCATGGACAGGGCAGGTGTGCAGGCTGCGGGAGAAGTCCTCTCCCCGTCACCAGAGAGGGTCGAGGCTGTTTGTGTAAGGCCAGCTCAGTAACCTGGAGCTGATAAATCAGGAGCAGTTCAGGCTCTGGTTCTTGGTGGACAAGATCCACGTGTGCCGTTTCTACGGGCTTTCGCGTTTGTTCCTCTCAAGCCTTGCCACCTCTTCACGTGGTTAAAATGATGAAGCTCTAGCATTTTGCTGCTTTTTACATTATTGCTTGCTGCGGGAGAACAGGAGTTGGTGAGGCCTGGGCAGAGACTAAGACAGACATGCAGACACCTCATGTCAGATCTCCGGAGCTGCGTGGAGGAAGGGAGCGTAGATTTAGACACATCATCCGTGTTACCTGGGGTCGTGACAGGGAGGTCACCCCTCTCCTCTGGGGTGCCTGAAAAGCAGGTGACATGAGCAGATAATGTCAAAGAGTGCGTTAGCTGGCGTCCTTCGCTGACACAAATGCTTTATTTCTTGTCTCAGCCATAGACTGGAAAGATGGTAAAAAGCACAAGTACGGCCGCCCGTCAGAGTCTCCCTCCCAGTACCAAGGTAAGAGAGCTCCATTCTCCCACTGTTGGTTTTTTTTTTTTGTCCTTAAAAGCTTTTTGAGTTGCTTGGATGTGGGGAACTGCAGCATGCTGAATTAATTTACAGATAAAAACTGCTTTTGGACAGTCTTGTGTGTTTAACTCTGACCATGATCCAAAACGGCCGAGAAGCCACCAGGGTAAGCACGCAGCTGAGCTGGCTCGGGTTTAGATCAGGCAGGATGGAGCAGATTTGTTTCTTGCCACCCAGCTGCGAGTGCCAAGGTGTGACTCTGCCCACGTCTTCACACGCGTCCTGGGCCATGAGGAGCCTCTTACTCCTCCACGAGCTCCTCTGCCACCTTCTCAGCAGCGGCTAGCCCGGTCCTCGTCGCTGTAGCAGACACGGTGTGACCTGCGCTCCCTGTTCCCCCGTGCCAGGAGCCTGGCCCTGACCCCAGCCGAGGCAGCGCCTGCACGTGGAGTTTGTAAATCTGGTGGCTCCTGCTGTCTCTCAGGGGAGTTACGCAGGGGACTTCCAACTTGAGGAAATTTATGTAAGGCTGGTATAGTTTAGTAGCAAATTATAGGGCCTGTATTTTACTTATAGAGTATAATGATGTCCTTATGTCCTTATATTCCCTGTGTCCCTATATCAAGGTGATGTCCATACTTCCCACCAAGTACAGAATGACAGGAAACTAAACGATTGCTGAGTAAAGCCATTTCTGACAGAAAACATGTGTTTGCCTTCGTGAAAGGTTCACCTGTGTTTCTGAGAGCCCCTGGGAGAGCTGAAGTGGCTGCTCTGCTGCAGGGGCTTGGCTGTCCTGTGCCCAGAGGTGGGCTCAGGGGGGTGGTTCTCGGCTTGTTGGACCATGGGCCACCATCAGCCCTCGCTGTCCTCTCTTGAGGAACCTTGTCTGTCCTTGTCTACCCTGCTACTGAAGTGCTGTGGATCGCAGTCTGGGAAGGACCTTCTCCAAGGGGAGGAAGTTCATTAGCACGTCTGACAGAGTCCTGGGTGCTCTGTCACCCCGTGCTGAGCTCCACGTGACATTGTGGGGCACCACCACAGCTCGCATGGCCTGCATACAGCCTGCCTTCGGGGTGATGGGGGATCCGCTGCAGATTGCCCTCCGTTCCCTGCCCTGCGCTGTCTGCAGGTGTCAGTGGCTGTGGTTCCCCGAAGTGAAGCTTTCTGTGAAATTCCGAGGTGTGCTTTGCCGTCGGCGCTCACGGTGACCCAGCACACCAACCTCCGCGCCTGGCCGCATCCCAGGGCTCGCTGGTCTTGGGAGGAGATGCTGCAGATACGCTGACGTGACATGTCTGCTCAGCAAGTGCACGGTGTAGCAGCAGGGATCTGGGATCGCATCCCTGCAAGAAACTCCGAGCAGCTCGTCGCTGCCTGCAGCTCAGGTCCGCAGCACCGAGGGTGAGACCGCGGCAGCTGTCTGGCATGGAGCAGCCCACAGTGCAGGCTGGAGGGATTGCTGCTCAGAGCCGATACCGAATTGGGACACCTCTGAGAAGAATCAAAGCAGACAGCGTTGTGCTCTTTGAAACCTGTTAGTGTTGGCTCACACAGGCTCGTGTTTCTTCTGAGTCAGACAGTGGGTAAGTGGGATCGTGTTGTCAGCTGGAGCTGTTACCCATGGAGAACGTGCAGCCGGACTGATGGCTGAGCAAAGTGCCTCGAAAGGATGATGGGCAGGACGTGCAGGAGCTCTGCCGTCGCGGTGGGAGAGCTGACCCCGTGGGAGGCTGCGCTCAGACGCTGCGGAAGGCCACCGTCGCCTTTGGATCTGTGAGCAGGGATGATCCGCTGCTAATTTTCATACCGAGTTGGCTCAGACCGTGCTGCTTTCATGTGCTGCCTTGATGCTCGTTAGCAGACACACATATGGGCTGCAGACTTTAATGGGATGCCTTGATCTGAGCAGGGCACGTTCTCCTTCACAGATGTGACCTGAAACGCACATGTATGGTTTCGGTTGGATTGATGACCCCTCGGGAGCTGAAATGCTAATGGAGCCCTAACCAGACTTCGGTTAAAGATCTAAACAGAAACTCTGCCTTCATTTAAATTCTGGGCAAAAGATCAACACTAAATGCAACGCGATGCGAATCCAGACGTGAGGGTGCAGAGTTGCATTGTTCACAACTACTGCCGTGTGACCCCTTGGGCGTGTGGAGTGTTTTGTTTGTAGTAAATATTTTTGAAGGTTAAGACATCAGAGCCCACATCTGACACTCTGCCTGCAAGCAATACCTCCCTTTGGAGCTTTCCAAGGCGAGCAGAAGTGAGGGACAGTCGCTCGTAGTGGGAATTCTCACGGCCGAGTTACGGGCAGTCATACAGGTTTGCAGTCCTTGGCTTTTGTTTAGCTCACAGATGTAATTACAATAACGTGGTGTTTCTCATGAAGCGTCCTGCTCTCGTTTCTTGCTGTGAAGAAGGTCTGATGTCTGTTACAGGGAGGAACACGGTCTGTCAAACGGTGATCCTTCCACTCTGTGGGAGTACGGTGTGCTCTGCCGGGGAGGCAGGGGGATGAGAGGGAAGGCAGAGCCCAGGTGAGACAGAGGGCGAGTTTAGGGCTGGCAGGACATGGTGCAGGTTTCACTGGCAGCTGGGGGCAGCAGCGGAGCGAGTGGTCCCCTTTGCTTTTCAGAGTGAGAGGATTTCAGTCCCTGCAGTGAGCTCTGTCCTTGGACGCTCCTGCTCCCTCACCAGTAAAAGGGACATGTCAGGACTGGCTGCAGTGCTGGTTTTTCATGAAGCAAAGTGATTCACTGGGAACTGGAGAAAAGCCACCAGGGTTTTTGGACCAACAGCCAGAAAACATTCTCCAGTGTCACCTGCCCAGACAGAGGAGAAAGAAGCATCTTGCAGACGAAAACATCATGTCCCTCTACAGTAAGGCATCCAATTTATTAATATGAATAAGAATGGGGAGAGAATATAAAATACAAGATAGTTGGTCTATGCTAATGAGAAAACCAAACAAGATATTCTGAACGTTTCCCTCTGGCCATAGAATCTCAATACACAGCAAGCCTGTAAAGTGACATCAGCCGGCAGCGGCAGCTTTGGTGTCCCGGCCGGCAGCGTGCCTGGCAGGGAGGCTCTGGAGCAGAGCTGCTCCAAGCTGAGCGTTGGGAGTGGGCGGCATCGGTGTGGCGAGCAGGACTGGGGTACGGTCCAGAGGAGCTACGGTTGGGAGGGCCAAGTGTGATGTGTCTGTCTTCAACCATGGGCGGTCGTTCTCAAGTACGGAGCTCGGGGCTTGTTCCCTGCTCCCCGGTTAAAAAAGCCTGGAGTGCCTCCTGCTTTTTTTCTATTGTATTGGCAGGTCTTCCCTTATTTTCAAAAAAAAAAAAAAACCCAAAACAACAAAAAAACCCACCAAAAAACCAAACCCCCAACCAAACCCCAACTTCTGTGTTACACCATTTCCTTCTGATCCTTCCTGCAGTTTTGGGGATGAAGCTGATCGTATTTGGTGAAGTGTACTTTGGAACTCTTGCTTGAAAGGCATTGTATCGTGAGCTAAATACTGTTACTGATCCCATGTAAAACCATTCCCTGCGTCCTGGGCAGGGCTTCCTCTCACGCTAAGGCAACGGTGCCAGCCTCCAATTTCAATGCAGTTTGTGTCCTGCATTGAGAGTAATCCTGAAGAAAGATGTGCAGTCTTTCCTTGTCCTTGTCAGGGCATCTTTACGTGAAGAAATGGCCGACAGCGAACAGAGGAGGAACCGGCTGTCTCGGGTCGGTCTTTTCTCGGAGTTTGGAGAAGTCTTTCTGCTGCTCCTGCTTTCCTTTGCAAAATCAGTCACCAGAACCGTGTGTCGGTAGCTGCAGTTTTGGTGTTGGGTGTGTGTCTTCGTATGGTGGTTGGGTCCCAACAGGCTCTAGAATTAATTTCAAAGAAGTTCCATGTCCAAACACTATTTTTAGAGGCATGCAGCTGTCTCAGAAATTTACTGCTCCTGCTGGGATTGCGCAGCGTCGATCTCGGCTGCGGCAGGGGGTGCTGCAGGGAGCAGAACGGCCTCGCTCGGTGCAGAGTGAGTGAAAAGTGGAAGGATTAAAACCGTGACTACTTTTAATAGCGAGGGATTGAAACCAGCTGAGGGGAGGGGAGGTTTCTTTGCTTAAAATAAAATTGTCAAGCGCAGCTGATCCTTTTTGAGATGCTTGCTCGGGCCCTGGGGCTGAGGCTTGCACTCCTCGCCCTGGTGCTGTCACCGCGGGCATCCTCTGTGCTGCGTGGAGCAGGGCCTCTGAAGGGTCACCCCGCTCTGAGATGAGCCCAGATCAGCAACCAGAGCTCAGGGGTGGGATGCAGCAAGGCATTTCCATGCCTGGGTTTGCTTTGGCTGGGTTTTTATTACACAGTATTCATATGAAGAGTTTCATTGATGTAACCAAGTGATAAACCGTACCTTCAATGAAATCAAAAGGATTTTGGTTTTATGAAAGCATCATTGCAGTGAATCACTGATTTTTTTTCATTCACCCTGGTGTGAGACTGTTGGCTGAAAAGAAAATACGTGCCAATGGATGGAAACTCGTACTCTGACGGACGGAGAGCTGCTGTCAAGAGGCTGTAAACAGAAATGCATTCAGCCAGTGTGCCAGCAAAACTGTATTTTTTTCTGTACATTTCCTCTGTATTGAACAGTGTGCTGCTCATCTGCATGGGAGGTGGCAAGAAAGCAGTGTTTCTTTTATTTATTTGAAGCTAGTAGATTATCGAGTCCATACGGCTTCTCTGTGCACGGGAGGCAGAACTGAAGTAATGCGTGCTGACCTCAGTGCCTGAATTTGTAGAGGTATGGTGTGCACTGCAGTAGCTAAAAAGGTTCTTAATGTAGCTTTGTTTTGAAAATAGACTGATTAAAAACTTGACGTGAATAGGGGAAGCGGTAGCTGACTCTTGAATTGTGCTGCCACCGATGCTCTTGGAATGACTTGAAAGCAGCGGTCTCCCGGGAGCCGTTCGGATGAATACAAGCTAATGTCATGCTGGAAGGATCCTTTCCCAGCTGCTCAGTTTAAATGGCAAAAGTCATGATTTGCTCAGATCATGGGAGCTTTTAATTCCTCGTTTAAGAACAGGTTTCCCTGGCTGCCATATTGCCTTTACCCTTCCTGCTGTACATGGTGCAGGCAAGGACACAATGTGCTTCCCCCGGCAGCAGCACCCGGTGGAAGGGGCTTTGGTGGTGGCTGTGAGCCGCTGTGTTCCGTCAGTCCCTGTCTGGAGGATCCCTGCTTCTGTCCTGCCCAAGCTGCGGACTCCCTGTCCGCTTCAGGAAATTAATTGCTGACCTGTCCACTAATTGCTGGGGCCGGGCTGGCTCGTGGGGCCGGCTGAGTGCCCGCTGGACCAGGGGACCCGCAGAGGCAGCACAGGGCGACGTTTCTGCCAGCCCACAGTGACTGTTGTTAATCCCCAGGCTGAGCAAGGTGTTCAGCGGTTATCTGGAAGACTCCACGGATTCCTGTGTGTGCTGGGTGTTGTGTGTGAAGTTGTAGGTTGTTGTCCTCGGTGCTCGCAGACCCTGCTCGGCGGCGCGGAGGCAGTGAGATGCCGCAGGCAGCACCGTGCTTTGTTCTGCCTGTCAGCTGCGGTTCTAAATCTTCTGTGGTCACAAACATGAGAGGAGCTTGATGAAAGCACGTTGCCTGTGAGCACCTCCCCTGTGAGAAGTGGAGAACTGCCGGCCTTAGGAGTCCAGCCGTCTCTTTTTCTGAGGTTTTTGCTCATCAGCTCCTTTTTGAATCCTTTTCTTTTCTCTTCTCAGGTCACTTCACCTGGGAGAAATACCTGAAAGAGACATGCGCCATCCCAGCTCCTGCACATTGCTTCAGGCAGGTAAGAGGGTGGATGAAAACAAGAAAGGCCAAGGGAGACAGTCGGTTGGTGACCCAGGAGTTCTGTCCCTGTAACGGGGCCCTTTTTGGCCAAGGAAGATGCTTAAGAGTGTTGGAGACAATAGAAATCACAAGTTTGCTGAAGCAAGGCTAAAAAAGACACATTCAAATGCAAACGTTGCGTTTGCACTGCAGTGCAGAAGACTTAACTCTCAGGTGTGCATGGGTGGGAACACGAGAATGTTTTTTTTTCTGTCTGCTGAGCACAGGCTCTCGGAGAAAATGTTCTGACTGGGCTGTGATCCGGGTTTCGGTGGATCCTGCCCGGCGAGGAGATTTTCTTCAGAATTCACCAGATGTTTGTGAATTGAATAGCACTCCCCCCAGGCACTGGGTGCTTGAGCACAGAGGTGATAACGTTGAGTACGGGGGATACAGGAGTGCGTTGGCACGGCACCCCCGGGTCCGGGCAGAGGGGCAGCAGCACAGAGGAGTGTCTGGGTCGCAGGTTGGGTGGGTGATGCTCCTGAGAAGAAGGCTAAGAGAAAAGGAGAGGTCTGGTTGTCTGGATGGTGCAGTACCAGAAGACGGTGGTCTGGGTCCCAGATCTGGCAGAGCTCGCTGGACTTTCTTTGCTGCTCTGTGGTGTCTGTTCCTGTGCTGTGCTTGGAGGATGCTGCCAGTCTTCGGTAGGATAAATTTTGATGATATTAGGGCTTAAGCTTTATGAGTGAGGTGGTGCGTGTGTTGAAAATCGCAGCTCTAACTGGGTCCCTCTTCTCTTTGCAGTCCTACACTCCCCCTGCAAATGAATTCAAGATCAGTATGAAACTAGAAGCCCAGGACCCGAGGAACACCACCTCCACGTGCATCGCCACGGTGGTGGGTCTGACAGGCGCACGCCTCCGCCTGCGCCTCGATGGCAGCGATAACAAGAATGGCGGCTGGTGGTCTCTGCTGAAATCCAGCCCATAGGAAACTGTGAGAAGAATGGAGGGATGCTGCAGCCTCCACTGGGTGAGCTGCAGTTCAGCTGTCCAGACAGCACCGATGTTATCCGTGGGGAAAACCCCAAGGTTTTTTATACTTCTGTGCTTGGGACTTCCCCAGCCTACCACTGTGGTGTAGACCAGCCCTGTTAAACAGATGTGTCCCACACCAGGGCTGTATTTCCACATGGACATCATGGCACGGATAGGGAGATGCTTCAGAGTGCAGATGAAAGAGCTCTTTGTACCTACGTGAGCTGTATAAGGGCAGAGCGAATCACAGAATGGTTTGGGTTGGAAGAGACCTTAAAGATTATCTAATTCCAACCCCCCTGCCATGGGCAGAGACACCTTCCACCAGCCCAGGGTGCTCAGAGCCCCATCCAACCCAGCCTTGAGCACTGCCAGGGAGGGGGCAGCTGCTACGGGCAACCTGTGCCAGGGCCTCACCACCCTCACAGTAAAGGATTTCTTTCTTCTGTCTAATCTAAATCTCCCCTCTTTCAGCTTGAAGCCATCACTCCTCATCCTATTACTCCATGCCCCTGTGAAATATTCCTCTCCCGCTCTCTCGCAGCCCCTCCAGGCACTGGCAGCTGCTCTAAGGTCTCCCCGCAGCCTTCTCCTCCCCAGGCTGAGCAGCCCCAGCTCTCCCAGCCTTTCCTCACAGCAGAGGGGTTCCAGCCCTCAGGGGCAGAATCCCCCGCCTCACCCTGTGCCCACGCTGCTGGGGGTGCAGCCCCGGGGACAGTTGGTCTTCTGGGCTGCCAGGTCATGTCCAACTTTTCATCCACCAGCACCTCCAAGTCCTTCTCAGCAGGGCTGCTCTCAATCCATTCTCCACCCAGCCTGTACTTACACCAGGGGTTGCCCAATCCAGGTGCAGGACCTTGCACTTGGCCTTGTTGAACCTCATGAGGTTCGCACGGGCCCACCTCTCAAGTCTGTCCCGATCCCTCTGGAAGGCATCCTGTCCCTTGGGCATGTCGAGTGCACCACCGAGCTTGGTGTCATCTGTAAACTTGCTGAGGGTGCGCTCAGTCCCACTGTCCATGATGCTGACAAAGATGTTAAACAGTGCTGTTCCCAGTGCTGGCCCCTGAGGATCATCACTCGTCACTGGTCTCTGCTTGGACATCGAGCCGTTGACTACAACTGTTGGAGTGTGACAGTCCAGCCAATTCCTTATCCATCGAGTGGTCCATCCATCAAATCCATGTCTCCAATTTAGAGACAAGGGTGTCATGCTGGACAGGGGCAGATGCTTTGCACAAGTCCCGGTAGATGACATCAGTTGCTCTTCCCTTGTCCACCAAAGCTGTAACCCCATTGTAGAAAGCCACCAAATTTGTCAGGCACCGTTTGCCCTTAGTGAGGCCAGGTTGGCTGTCACCAGTCACCTCCTCATTTCCCGTGTGCCTCAGCATAGTTTCCAGGAGGATGCTCCAGGGTCTTGCCAGGCACAGAGGTGAGACTGACTGGCCTGTAGTTCCCCGGGTCTTCCTTTTTGAATCCAGGTTCTGTTTTTCTGGAAGCCACCACACGGTCACGCAGGCAGTGGGGGCACGCAGCTCTGGCAACAGCTCGGTCTCTGGCTGTTGCCTGTTGCTTTAGGCCTCTGATCCTGCTTGCACGTGCTGGCATCTCCAAGGTGTGCTGGACACGAAACGGCTGCCATCTGTCCGCGCCCTCCCCTGCGCTCCCCATTCGAGCAGAGCACAGCACCGGTGTCTGCGTGAAGGTGCTTTGCTGGGGATCTGTAAATCTTGATGTGGAGAATAACCAAGAGAGCAATTAGGGCTGAGGCATCTGCTGTGTCACCGCTGATCCTGACACTGTGATTTCAAAAGCGTTTACATTTTCATTCGTGCTGCCTAAGTGGATTTGTGCCCAAGTGTCTTTGGGGCAATAGCAGGTTAGCTGGAGACCATCTGATGGGGAACTTAATGTATGAAAAGGTTCCCAGTGATTTAAGCCCTGTCTCCCGTGAAGGGACGCTTGCAATATTTCATCTGTTTATTTATTTAATTTTGCTAGGCTACAGCTTTATAAATACCCTGGATGGTCCAACACCTCTTCCAGTCTTGTCTCCAGTTAAACATACATCTTTTTTTTTGTGATACTGGCCACAGGATGAGCTGATTTGCTGGTTCTTTCTTGATGAAGCAGCAAGATTAACCTGCTTTTGCATTCTGCTTCCCATTATTTTTGAGGTGTCTTCATAAATCTCTCTCTCAGTTAGCACGTCCACAAATAATATCAAGCCGATCCATAGGGATGCAAGAAACCTTCGAGAGGATATCTGGAGTTGAGAATATTTTCATTCATGCTTTTTCCTGGAGCACCGTTTGTGAGCTTTGGTGGAAGAGCAGTGAACGCAGCGGGGTGCTTGGGACCGGCCGCTCTGGGGGAGGACAGGGCAGCAGAGGGTGCACGTCTTGGCCCACCACGCCGCGCGGAGCTGTGTGTGTGCAGCTCTGGTCGTACCCTGTCCCTTCACGATTGCTACGGGCAAAGCCTGCTGCAGCTATTAGCGTTGAAGCTGCCGGGTTTGGTGTTGCTTCCACGCACGCTGCCGGCCCTTTGCAGACATCTCCTTGCACCCCTGGTCGCGGGGTGCAGCTCACCGGAGGCGCGGGGCCCGCTCCTGGCTGGCAGTGATGGGTCCTCCGCTGGTTCCTCTGGGGCTTGCCAGCTGATGGCAATGGGCCTGGACGAGCCGCCAAGCAGAACTCACTCTGGCTGTGCCCGAGGAGAGGGCTGGTGCCCTGGAAGCTGTCTGCCCGCCCAGCTCTGACCTGTGTCGCCTGCTGCGCCTCGGGCCGGAGCAGTAAGGACAGGCAGCGAGTCGCGCGTTCTGCCTGCAGCGTGCAAGCGCCCAGAAGACGCGGCAAGGGTTTTCTGTGTTCCTTGGAGTATTTTCCATCTGTACACATCTGCTTCTCCTCTTCTTCACACAGACAATTCGTGTTAAAGGGTGTCTATGCCTCTCTGGGAGCTCAGCTCTCCCGTGCCCTGAGGTCGCTTGTTCGGTTTCCCGGCTGCTTGGACAGCGTTGCAGGGCTGGCGAGGTGGCCTGTCCTGAGCTGGCTGTGTTCTGGCATTTCAACCATGTTAGTCATCACGGGATGCTCTCCGTCGAGGTCCAGTCCCAGGGTTACCTTCAAAACACGGCAGGAGGGAAGGCGCAGTGCCGCGTTCAGCTGAGCAGCAGGAGCTGCCTGCTCAGGAAGGCGCACATTTAGCAAAGGTGATAGCTGGAGACTGTGGTCTGCTGTGCAGTCATACGCCGTGCCACAGGCTTGGAGCGTGTGAATTTGCTTTTTCCTTCCCATAAGCCCCTTCCTGTTATTTCTCTACTTTTTTTCACAGAAGGTGTCAAGCCAAAAACTGCCATCCTTTCCTGTAGTGGTGAAATCTGTTTCCCAGCCGAGTCGCAGCCTCTTTATTTCTTCAGGTTAGCTTGCCTGCAGCTAAAAGGTGGAGGAGGCCACCCAGAAGCTGAGATACCCTAGTGAGGAAAAAATTTCCTAGCCAGAGTGAGCACTTGCTGATTCATGTCTCCCCTCTAGTAGGTGCCAGCACTAGCGCTGCACAAAGTGCTCTGCCCCTGTGTCCGTGTACAGACTTTTGTTATGATAAGTGAATATTGAAGTCAGACATCCATTTCCAGATGTTTCTTTTCAACGGCGTAATGTTTTGCATTCAGAGTATCTGGAAAAGGTCAAACCTGACTCTCCAGCGTGAGGAGGAGGGTGGTGTGGAATCACAGTGTGTGCCCGCTGCAGAGCTCCCATCAGAGCAGGCATGTGCTGCTGGACCCAGTGGCCCCCGCAGCCTTAAAGTCTCCATCTCTGCTTTCTTCTCTGCAGGCTTTCGGCTGAATGCCTCCTCTTGGCCCATGTTCCTTCTGAAGACTCTGAATGGAGCAGAGATGGCTCCTGTCCGGATTTTTCACAAGGTATTTTAGTGTCTTGTTTGTGAAGACATCTTGCTGGCATGTCCCCTTTACTGCAGAGCACCGAAATCACAGCTGGCCTCTCGTGTCAGATCTGCTGATCCCAGAGGAGATGAACATTGCCCGGCTCGGCCACGGTGCTGCCGCTCCAGCACAGGTCCGAGCCCTCTGCCGCTGTGTCAGCGCAGCGCGGAGGCGCAGACACACCTGGGCAGCCTGTTCCAGTGCTCCGTCACCCTCAGAGGGAAGAAGTTCTTCCTCATGTTCAGACGGAACTTCCTGTGCCTCAGTTTGTGCCCATTGCCTCTTGTCCTGTCACTGGGCACCACTGAAAAGAGCTTGGGCCCATCCTCCTGACACCACCCTTCAGATATTTGTAGGCTGCAGTGCTTGGGCTTGAGCGACGTGCTTGTTTTCCGCCTGGGCTGCGGGTGCTGCTCAAAGTTAGGACTGCAATCGGTGAAAGTCAGCACCTCTCTGAGGCTGTTTGATGTACCAGGGCTTGCAGGGAGTGCAGATATTGTGAGGCAACGCTGCAAGTATGGTGTGGTAGTTTGTATTCTCAGGCCCTGAGCGAAGGCAGAGAGGGACAGCAGCCAGTCTCGAGGCGTGCGCTGCGGTGTGGGACGGTCGGTGTGGCTTTAGGGTGTCTCGGGTGTAACAGAGGAGGAAGAGCGAGCCCCGGGCAAGGATGGGTGGCAGATCGCTCGCATGTCCAGCAGAGATGAAGGTGGGGGAAGAATGATGGAGAGAGACTGTCAGATCTCAGGTTTTCCTGCTCTGAGATTACAGGGTGAGAGTGTCCTACAGAGGCTTTCTCTGGAGCCTTTTTTCCTGCCTGTGTCGCACGACAGACTTGCCGCGGGGTGCAGTGTTAACGTGGCACTGTCTGGATTTGGGCCAGCAGCCAGGTGGTGGCAGAGCAGTCAGTAGTGGACTTCGTTGCCTCTTGACTTAAAGGGCACTGGTTGTGTAGCTAGGCCAACGTGTGCACACCGAATTGGGGTTCAAATCCAGCCCAGCAGCTCGCTTCTTCATCTGCTGGTGGTGGTGAGTTTGCTGATGGAGGGGACAGCCCTAGTCTGGGGAGGCACTGGCATATCCTTGTTGAGCACATTTTCAACTTCTCCTTTTAGGAACCACCATCTCCATCCCAAAACTTCTTCAAGACAGGTATGAAGCTGGAGGCAGTGGACAGGAAGAACCCTCACTTCATCTGCCCGGCCACCATTGGGGAGGTGAGAGGTTCTGAGGTCCTCATAACATTTGATGGCTGGAGAGGTGCCTTCGATTACTGGTGCCGATATGATTCCCGGGACATCTTTCCCGTAGGCTGGTGCTCGCTGACTGGAGATAATCTGCAGCCCCCTGGAACAAAAGGTAAGGCCCACGTTGTTGCTTAGCTGTCTTCCTCCTCCACTCAGCTCTCAAAGAGCGGCAAAACAGGCAGAGGCTAGCAGCAAGGACACCTGGGTGCCCTGTCTGGCTTTCTTCCTGCTGCTTCACGCGTGGTACAGGTACAGCGATCATACCTATGGCAGTGTAACAGCCTGGTGTCAGGGTCGTCTGTAAAGGTGGGCAGGATGATGGCTCTCTGGTGGGATGGTGGTGCTCTGCCACGTTGCTGAGTTCTGCTCCACTTCAGGAGTTTCCTTGGAGTCTTTTGTGCGTCTCTGGAACAGACAGTCCTAGGAACTTTTTCACCATGGGCCTGGGCTATTTGTGGATATAATAAGGGAATAATGAAAACTATTAAGTTGCAGGACTGCGCCTGTTTGTAGTTCTGACAGTTATCTTGCTCTGTTATCTTGTCTGCTGTGAACATGAAGAAAGCAGGTCTGAATCAGGTCATACCTGCCTTGTTCCTTGACCTGTGATTGTTGCTTCGGAGCGGTGTTGGGGAACTTGCTGCCTTGCGAAGGTCCGAGCGTCGGCTGTTGAGGTTTTCAGATGTGTCTCTAGCTTGCTAGCATTGCAGATGTGCTGAGAACCACGGAAGCTGCCGTTGTCCCCGTGCACATCCCTCCGGCATTTACCTGGCTGGCAAGTCCAGCACACGCCTGTCAATGAAATGAGAAGCAGGAGAGCAACCTCTCTGCTGGAGCTGAAGGATGACTTAGGAGAGGCATTTCTCCGATGAGACTGTTCCTTCTGAAAATGTAGGGTCAGCTTGTGCTAACCCCTCGGGCTGGTGCGTCCCTCGACATCAGCCATTGCTGTCCCCGGGCTGGAGGTCGGGGTCGGGGTGGATTGCCTGAGGTCATCCCGCCCGGCCTGCGCGCAGGCCAAGCTGCGGGCTCCCCTCGGGTGGAGGCGATTCCTGTTGTGGTTGGGAACTGAAAGGCACTCTCGCTGTTTATCTTGGATTTCTGCGTTTGGCCTTGGTGTTCCCAGCTTCTCCCTCGCCTCTTGCTGTTTGTCTGCTGGGGACCGCCCGGCCGGTGGCTGGCCCCCCGGCAGTGCCCTGGAGGCAGGGGCTCTTGCCCAGCCCCTCCAACGTGCTTCTCAGGTACTGCACGAGTGGCAAAAGACACGTTTGTGTTGGGTGGGAATTGAGGGTAGAAGGTTTCGGGAGTAAGGTGGAAGCTGGTGGTGCCTGGTGCATGCAGCTCTGTTCGTCTCCAGCCTCCCTGTGACAGGGACTGAAGCTGTGAGCGAGCAGAGCGTCTGGAAATAACGCCCCGTCGTGGGGGCAATGGCGTGGTCGTTTGGAGCCATCCTGAGAAGCATTTGCTTTCCCCTTGGCAGGCAGCAGTGACAGGCTCTCCCTCTCGCATTGGCTCCATCAACAGCAGCTCTGCAGTTCCTGCTCAGGTGCAAAACTGGTCAACCCCAGAAGTCTCATCTCCCCGCTCCCAGGCAGAAGCTGCCCTTGCTCTCAGGCAGGTTTCTGCTCTCTTTGCCGTCTTTTTCAAATACTGGAGCAAGAACAGGGGTTGGCAGAGGTTGCATGAGCCATGAAAAAATGCTGTGGAGTCAGGATCAGCCTTCTCTCTGCAGTATTTTACTTTCCTCTCTGCGGCTACCCCCTCCCTTTCCTGCCCCAGACTTTCCAATTTCCACTTTGTGGGATTAAACCAAAAGAAGGGAGCACTGGGAACTTTCCTCATCTGTAATTAAATTCCTCCCTTGTGCCTTTACTCCTTGGCCCTGCTTTGGAGGAGGGTTGAGCAGAGTCCTCCCAGGACCTGCGAGCAGCTCTTGGCAGGGCTGGAGGATGCTTCATCGCAGAGGGCTCCCCCTTTCCTTCACCTCCAATAGAGCTTCCCCGTGTGCCAGCCTGGAGCCCGCAGGACCACGCAGCGGAGTGGGGGAGGTCCCCTTTCCTGTTGGGAATTCCCCTTAAATCGGGGAGACCCAGAGATGTGCAGGAGGCCGCTGCTAACCGTGGTTGTACCAGGCTCAGCTCACGCACTGGACCTGCCCTGGGCCGATGGGTAGTGGCAGGGTGAGAGGCTTGGGAGGGTTGGGAAGTCCTGCGAAGAGTTAACTCCGTCGAGACTGCTGGCTTCCTGGGGCTGAGCGAAAAGAGGCCTCGTGAAATGAGCTCATGTTCAAGGGAAGCAGAACTTCAAAGAGGCCAGGCGTGTTTATTTAATGCTGGTAACTTAATTCAGCTCTAATCTGTCCCTTCTGCTGGTTGCCAGCAGAGGTGGAGGAGTACAGGGCTTCTCCCGGGCACGTCCCCTCTCCGGCTCCGGGGCCTCCCGCTCCCACCAGTGTGTGC